TGCTGGATGGCCTCTGGATCCTACCCGGTTCTGGTGCTGGGCCAAGGCAGGGCAGCTTAGTGCCCGTAAGCACGAGGATGAAGGAAATGGGGAGCCAGGGAGATGTGGGAATGCGTGAGCGTGGTCCTTCCTTTCTTGGCACCCTCCACTGACCAGACACTGTGCCTGCCTGCTCACAGAGCAGGAATGGTGGCAGCAGGGCCTCCACCAACAGAGAGGGTCTTAGGAAAGGAAAGCTCTGGCGGGACCCCGTGAGGGAGGCCATCTTCCATAGTGCCAGGAACTTCTGTGCTGTGTGCACATTAATTACTAGGGGACTTTTCAACTCTCTTTGCTCTCAGGCTTTATCTGCCTCAAATTTGGTACTGTGGAGTTCACATACTTATTTACAAAGTTTTCAGTTGCCATTTCTAGCGTTTAAACCTCTTTCACTGATGACACCATGCAAGTACACACTAGATCCTCTTTATGAACACTGGTAGAGAGATTGCTCCTGGGCTGGGGAGTTGGAAGTAGGACCCAGTGCCACTGGGGAGTAAAGAAGTCTCAGTCCCAGGTATGGAGATGGTCAGGCTGGTAACCTGGCCATCCTGCCTGCTGCCTGCTTCTGGGAGTGCTGTCGGTGCAGAGACTGGGAGTCACACCTGCAAAGGTGTAAATGTTCTGGAGAGAAGGCAGCGTATTCTTTAGCTTCTGCAACACTGCCTTTGCCTTCTTACTACCTGCAGCTCTCCACCTAGCTTTCCCCCTACCAGAGAGGCCTCTTCTGACCCAGCAGTGAGCACCTTCTCTACTCCCAGCCCCAGTCCTAGCTGTTCTCTTACTTGTATTGTGTTTGACCAAAGCTCTAGTGACCATTTGACACACTTAATGTGTGGGTTACAAGAAAGTAGGCTGCTGTTTTGTTCCCGTCTTGGTCTACAGGGTGTTCAGGGTCTCACTACTAGATCGGACGCGTAGTGATCTGCCTGTTTACAGCCTCCCAAGTGCTGGGATTACAGGCACGCACCACCACGTCCAGTTTCAATCGCTGTCTCAGCGCACCCCAGGGCAGGGCCAGCATGTTCCCGTTTTATGAGTAGACCCAGCCTAGAGCTGGGCCAACTAGGTGGGCACCTCTAATTGTCAAGAACCTAGCTCAGGATAGAACTGAGAGGGCTGCTGGGGAGATAGCTCGACACTCTTAAGTGCCTGCCTAGCAAGCGCAAGGACCCAGGTTCGATCCATGGTACTGCATGCCATGCCAGCTCCAGAACCCCAGGTGCACTGTGCTGGCCAGCAAAACCAGGCATGGTAGCACACGCTTGCAATCCCAGCGCTGGGGAGGCTGAGGCAGGATCACTGAGTTCAAGGCCAGCCTGAGTGGATAGTAAAATCCTGTCTCAAAGAAGACAGAACTGAGGACCAGTACTGGTTCAGTTGTGCAGTGACTGTGGGGGATGGGCATGTTGCTGAAAACAGGGCGAACTGTGGCCCTGTGTGTAAACTGAGACAGTCACCAAAATATTTCATAGGGTTTGCTTAGACTTGGAGCTTCTGGGAGATGACTAAGCACATAAATTACTTAATTTTAGTTAGGGATGGGGAAGTCGTAATAAGCTTGCTTTCTTTTTTAGAGAGGCTGGGACATTTTTGATTTATATTACAAATGTGTATATTTTTAGTTACTAATTTAGCCTCCTGATTGTATTATCTTTTTTTTTTAATTTATTTATTTATTTATTTATAATTTTTTTTTTTGTGTGTGTGTGGCCAGCTCAGCCCACCAGGGAGCGGGGCTGGCTGGCATGTGGTGCTGGGGGATTGAACCGCGGTCCCTGTGCTTTGCTAAGCTTGTTCTAAGTAGGTGCTTTAGACCACTGAGCCATCTCACCAGCCCCCCTGATTGTATTATCTTTCTTTCTTTTTTTTTTTTTTTCCTTTTTCTTACCGACAATAAAACTAAGGACCTTGCCCTTGCCAGGCAAGTGCTATGCTGCTGAACAGTCTATGCCCTTTTTAAAATCAGATGCTTCTGTGGGGAGTGGTGGTTTATGCTTGTAATCTCAGCCCTCAAGAGGCTGAGGCAGGAAGATCATTGAGTTTGAAGCCAACCTGGGCTACAAAGTGAGTTCAAGCCCAGCCTGAACTGCACAGTGAGACCCTGTCTCAAAAAGGGGGAAAAAAAAGAAAGAAAGAAAAAAAAAAACAGATCAGATACTTCTAAAGGGTTAAAGGACCAGATCTAAATTCATAGAAGTTGACTAATGTGTACTTAATGGAATGGTTATGTTGAATGATGGTGCTGGAAAAATAGGTTATTTTGGAAAGGATGATTATTTAGTATACTAAAATTTTAATTTTTAATTTTAATATTTATTTAGTTATTTATTGCGGTACTTGGGATTAAATTCAGGACCTTGCACTTAAGCTACTGAGCTGTCTCTCTGGACTTTACACTAAAAATGTTATTAGCATTTCTGCTCTGGCAAATATTTATAAAGAGAGCCTCTTATACCAGGTTCTCCCCATACTGTGGCTGTAGAAACTGTATGTGAGACCTAAAAACCCTGAATAAACTTCAGTGCAGTGGAGCAGTGGAGAAGGTAGTTGGTGTCATTCTGAGAATTCTACTGGATCCTCTTTGCTCTTGCCTCTCGGAGGATATTGTGTATCCATATTTGAACATCCTGTTCTCTTAGGGCTTGTTGCCATATTTGTTGAGAGTAGGGGATGGGGCCAAGGTCGGCAGGTGCATCTGTGTTGCCTGTGGCTGGTCTGCCTGCTGGGTCATGCCCTGGCAGGGCATGTGGAAATCATGTGCAGGCAGACGCGTGTGCTGTGGTGATCTCTAAGGAGCTGCTGCTTCTCTTTGCTGGGTGCAGTCCTTTGCTTTTATTGGGACATCTAATATTGGTGGGAGACACTTTTTGTTATCTGTGATCAGCCTTTCTGTCCTCTTCAGTAAAGGGATGAGATCTATTCATTTAGCAGACATCTTTTGGGCAGTTATTGGGCTAAGCACTTGGAACAAAAGGGACTTTACCTATAAAGTTTAAAATAGAATTGAATGTATGTGTCAGAAATGAGGAAACATGGCGTCTCATGGTGCATGTGTAAAGGCTCACAAAATGTGTCCTGCTCTCTCACTTTCTTTTTTGTTTTGTTTTGTTTTTTTGAGACATGCTCTCACTGTGCTGTTCAGCCTGTTGTACTCAAGTGATCTTCCCTCCTAAATCTCCCGAGTAGCTGAAGGTTTTTAGGCCTCACATAACAGTTTCTGTAGCCACAGTATGGGGAGAGCCTGGCATAATGGGCTCTTTTTTTAAATATTTACCAGAGCAGAAATGCTAATAATTAACAGAGGTGCACTGCCTACACCTGGCTTTCTCTTTTTAATAAGGATTTGTTTAGATTACTATTTTAGAAAACAAAAGCTATTATTCATTGTGAACTCTTACTTGCATTTTGTTTCCACCTACTTTCCAAAAAGAACTAATATATATATATATATATATATATATATAAATTTTAAATATATATACTTAAAATTTATTTTCCAGCAGACAAATTTCTAAAATGGATTTTCAGCAGGTGCAGTTACAGGGAGGGGCTACACTGCCGACCATACACAAGGCATGAGAAAGCTGTTGGTGTGTCATTGTGACAGAAGTGACTTCACAGTGTAAACAGACACCATTATTGTGTCACTTATGATACTAAAAATAAAGACGCAACTTGGCAAAAACACTTCCGTGTGGTAAAGTTAGGCACGGTAGCTGGGAGGCAAAGCTTCAGTATCGGTCAGGATCCACGTTTCCGTAAGGGCATTCAGCACAGTGGAAGTGACCGCTGCCCAGAAGTTGAGTCTTTCATTTTCTTTCCTCATGTTACTGCCAGAGCAGTGCTTCATACCGTACTTGGGGTGGGGTGATGATCGTTACGACTTGGCTTAGGTTGCACTAAGGAAATTAAAAAGAAAAACATGTGAACTTGCACACCCTCCCAAGAGTTTCTAGGATGGAGACACGGTTCTTCATTAGGTCGGCCCGGGCCGACTGCTTGTCACCTGAGAATTCCTGCTCAGATGCCTCCCTCTCTTGATGCCTGGGACCATCAAGTCATCTGGCAATTGGGGATGCTCTTGGGGCTCCAGATGAATGTATTTAAAGAACAGGAACACACACATTGGCTCCCTAAGGACTAAAGCCTGTGCAAGGGCATCCACTTATAGCCCTAGGTTGGACAAATTCTGGTAGTTCTATAGCCTCGGGGGTTTTGTTTTTGTTTTTTTGTAGGTACATTGAAACAAAACAGAAATGGGTATACAGTGGGTAAGGCATACCAAACAGGTCCCTAAAGAAATGACAGCCCTTTCTCTATGTAGCTACATATAGTTGCCTTGGAAGTGTTTAGTATGTAACCGTCACAATTAAGCTAAGTAATTACCTTTTCCTTTGTGGGTCAGTAAATTCCAGCTGGCACATCTTCATACAGCTGAGTTTTGGACGGAGTCAATTTAGGTTATACAGAGCTTCTACAAAACTTTGTCACAAGTAGTAAAGCTATTCTCTATGACCTACTTTTTTTTTTTTTATAAAATTAGAAAATGTCATTTTAGTATGAATTTTTTATGCTACACATTTACACATTTTTTTTTTTCATGCAAAGCAGCAGTAACAATTGTGCTTATAGGAATGCCCAAGGTTGGTCACAATGGGGGAACATCACTTGCATATCAATAAAAAAAAAAAATGAGATGATTTCTTTAAGAAAACCAAAGCCCAGATTCTAGAGACTTGGCTCCATCTACATTCTTTTCTTCATTCTCTCTCTACTAGACTTCTGGAGCTTAGCTGACAGCAAGGGACAGGAGTTCCTAAGAAAATTTGTGACACTTTTTATCCATACTCATCAGAAAGTCATTGTGTTCTCAGTGGCCAGCTTTTTGCCCTGGTGAGCCAAGTTACTGTTATTGCCCTGTGTATTGTACAGTGCACCTTGAGGTCCTTTGATGGTAAATGAAATACGGCAGCTTCCTGAATTTACATACCATCCTTGCACAAGGACTGTGCTAATCTTCTCTGTATCTTTCCATATGTTCTATGGAAGCAAGCGCGTGTTTACATTTCCATAAAGGTTTTGTTTTGCTTAAAGCAGTGAATGAAGGATGAAGGAACAAAGAATTTATAAATAATTCAAAGTACTGCAAGCAGGTGAAGAGGCGAGGGGCTTGATCCCCTGGCCTGCTGTGCCAACCCCACCCCTGGGGTGCACTGAGAAGGCAATTGAGACTGGGCGTGGTGGCGCATGCCTATAATCCCAGCTCTTAGGGAGCTGTAAACAGACAGGATCACTCCGAGGCCAGTCTAGTAATGAGACCCTGAACACCGTGTAGACCCTTCCCTAAAACATACACACACACCAAAAAAAAAAAAAAAAAAAAAAAAAAAACACCTGAAAGCAAAAAGATTATAACCTGTACTTTTTCTCTAGTGTCTACTTAGCATGAATAATTAACAGGTTTTTTCCCCCTTCTAATTGGTTTTGTTATTCAAATTTAAAATCTTTGATTTTTGGAGTAGTTTTAGGTTCACAGAAAAAGTAAGCAAAATGTACAAAAAGTTCCCAAATAGCTTGTCCCCACACACAGTCTTCTACAATCGAGGCATCGTGCAGCACAGTGGAATGTTCATTACCACCACTGAACCTACACTGATCTGTCATCATTCTCCGAAGTCCGTAGTGGACATGGGCATTTACTCATGGTATTGTACATCCAGTGAATTTAGAAAAATCTCTATTGTGATGTCATACTGTTTTTGGGGCAATAGTTTCATTGCCCCAAAATTCTCTGTGTTCTGCCTTTTCTTCCCTCTTTCCTTTTTTAATCCCTGGCTGCTACTGAACTTTTGTCTCCAAGGTTTGACCTTTTTAGTACTATCATATAATTGGAATCGTACAGTGTGAAGCCTTTTCTGATTAGCAGTGGTGTGGTTTTGGTTTTGTATTTAGTACAGGGTCTCCAGGGTCTCACTACGTAGATCAGACTCCTAGTGATTCTCCAGTTTTCAGCCTCCCAAGCGCTGGGATTACATGCTTGTGCCACCATGCCCAATCTCAATCGCCTTCTCAGTGCACCCTGGGGGCTGGGCCGGCATGGCACTTCCGGGATTGAACCCTGTCTGCTGTGCCCTGCCTAAGCAGGCGCTTTAGTCTGCTAGCTATCTGGCCAGCTCAGTAATGATGTGATTTAATAACGCTTCTTACACATAGTAGTGGTGTGTACTTACCTTTCTCCATTTCTTTCGTGGTTTAATAATTAATTTCTTTTTAATGCCTAATGATACTCCATCATCTGACTGTAACATATGATTTTGTTTTGTATTGTTTTGCTTTTGAAACAGCATCTCACAGTGTAGTCCAGGCTGGCCTTAAATCTGCTGTCTTCCTTTTACCCCAGCCTCCAAGAATGTTGGGGTTAAAGGAATGTATTGTAGTGTGTGGCTTTATCACAGTTTACCCATTCACCTAGGAGAGCTGCTTCTGAGTTTTTTCAGTTATAAATAAAGATGCTGTAAATATCTCTATGCAGGGTTTTGTATGGACCTAAGTCTTTAGCTTCCTTGGGTACATATGATAGAGCTTTGCTTACTTGTGGGCTGTACAGTGAAAAGTGTGTTTAGTTTTGTAAAAAACTGAAAACTCAGAGTGCCTTCTCACTAGCAACAAATGAGCAACAAATGAGAAGTCCTGCTGCCTCACATCCTCTTTTACATAGTGACAGCGTGTTCTGACGTCGTCTCTCACATGGTGACATCATGTTCTTGATGTAGACCTGTCAGTTGTATATGGAGCATCCTGTAACTAGTCAGGTCTCATTCATATAGTTGGCATTTCTTGCCCAAAACTCCCAATGTGATTCCCCTGAAAAATTTAGTTTTCCAAGTGGAGTCTTTAAAATACAAGGTTCTTCCTTTTTGAACTTAATTGGATGAAAATTGGCAAAGCCCACACAAAACTAATTAAGCAAGATTGAATATAGGGATATGTAGGATAACCATATGTCCCAAGAGCCTGAGACACCCAGATTATGCTGGTGGTCTTGGCCTAATTAATGGACTACATCTTTCATCTCAGAAGTTCATGCTTTGGACAGTAAATTGTCTACAATCCTACTGTAGGCATATGAAAATGTTACGTGTTTTAAAATAATGACTGGCTATTGAAACTACTGTAAGTTATGATTTCTCAACATAGGAAACCCATATATTCTTTGAAACAATTTTTAAGACAAAAGGATAAAGAAAACATTTTCTATGGTGAATTGAAGCATCATGTGCACACGAATGAGAACTTGATCTAGAATGTGATAGCCTGTTGATTTGACTGAACTGTGTTTGTAATGCAGAGCAAGAATGTAAACAGTTAATAGGAACAAGGGTCTAAGGAGAATATTGGCATTCATTGCCAGAGGATAAGAAGGACATTTGCTAATGGAGTCTGCAGAAGATATTTGTTAAGGAAGATTAAATGTAAGTCATTGATGGCTCCTCCAGCTGGCCTACGAGTTCCTGGGAATAGCATGACCTGGGGAAGTAGCCCCTCTCAGATTTACCATGGAATGACAGTGTCCTGAAACATCTCATAGTAAGAGAGCTGGCTTTGCTAGCATCAGAGATAATGGAAGAGCGTTTTGGAACAAAGATTAAAGGCTGTTTGGGCCCTGTAATTGGAAATGGAACCATCAGTGTTATTGTCTGCATCTTAAGGGTTTCTTCAATTAGTTCTTTTTTAAGCAAGAAATAACCTTGTTATTAGTAAATGGCCTGTTTGTATTGACTTATATTTTCTTCTGTTAACTGTTTCATAATATTCTTCTAAATAGTATGCCAAATTATAGATCATTGAAATAGCTATGATAATAAAATTGTCTTAAAATTTTAATTTGACACTATGCAAAATATACTTAATTTATAAAAATTAAAACAAAAAACAAAAAATATTGTTATAAAAACAAGTCATTATGTGTTTGTTACTCTTACAGCATTGCTAACTATTCTGATCTTATAGATTGGAGGTTTTATAGAATGGAAACATTTAATAGGAATGTGTCATTACCCCTTAATGCTTCAAATGCTGTTTTACTTCTTGGTGGTAACCTCCTATCACTGCAGCATAAGCCAGGTCAGGAGTATTTGGGTAACATCAGGGAACTGTGGCCAGTCCTATATGGTCACCGAAGGTCTTAGAATTCTTCTTGAAGGCAGCTCTAATATAGTACAGTCGTCTCACACATGAGAAAATGTGAGATTTAATGAGTTCAAGTGATTCATCCAAAGTAATAACCCAGCAGAGCTAGAAGCTGGTTAAGGTACAAACAAAAAAGATATTTTGAGACCTTTGCAAGAGATTCCAGAGTCAAATATAAATAACTTAAATGTACTACAGAGGCAGAGATTACTTGATGGGATCACATGGAAAGGGAAAAGGGCCCGGCCCCACAGCCTGGAAGCTAGAGAGATGGGGTCAGGTGTGGTCTGCAAGGGCTTTCCCCATTTCCCTCCTGTCTTCTAGATTTTTTTTTTCCCACCTGGTTTTAACAACTTTATTGGGATTTGTGTGTTTAATTAGTGAAGTGTTTAATTTTAATTAAATTGTTTTCCTTTCCTCTCTAAAAATTTGAAAATCTGGAGATCATACTTGATTTCACCTTCTTTCTTTTCCATTTTACTACTCTGAGGTAAAAAGAAAGTGATTCCTGACTCCATGAAAACCCTTGGTGATGAGGCTTTATACCGAATGGAGGGGACTGTTAAATGTCCTAACTGACTACAAGGGTCTGGAAGCCAGTGTGGGCAGGTTGTGGCCTGCCTACTCCGAGGTCACGGGAGTTGTGCGTCCTCACATGTTACAGTTCAGCTACTTGCCTGCACCTAAGTCCTTTGTTAACCTCTTTGAGAAGGGCGCCACTCCACTGACGCCCTAACAGGTGTGGGTTTCACTCAGTCTGCAAGTTCGTCTGAAGGGTTCATATTGTGGCATTCCTGGTTAGTGTATGCAGGAGCTCTGGTGAGACAGCCCCGGGCCCAGCTAGCCAGGCATAGATTTGGCCTTATTTTTAAGCTTTCTCCAGTGCTTCTCTCACACACCACTTACTTTTGGTTTGCAGCAGATATCTTATTTACTAAAAAAAAGAATGAATGAATGAGTATAATACAACATTCTTTTAAATCAAATTTTTAGAGTTTAGCCAGAAGGTCCCTACAGCAACTTGTCTGTAGTCTAAAATTCTCAGTCTGTTTTAAGGCTTCTGTGGCCTGCTAGTACTTTTCTCTGGATTGTCCCTGGTGGGTGAACACACACACAGAATTCAGGTCAGGCCTCCGAGACCCGACAGCCCCTACAACATTTTAAGAAATATATTCTTAAGTAACTGGGGTCCTGGTGTCCTCCCAAGCTTTTAAGAAGTATTCGGTTATGTGGAGAAGAGTTGACACCATTCCATATACATACCGAAGCTTCCCACTGGAGCCCACCCTCCATACATGGAGTATGACAGCCAAGAACAAATAGGCAGTTGTATTAGAAGTTCTAGGGAGAAATAACAGAGAGAGCCATATCTTTTGTTTGGAGGGATATATATTTTACATTTGAAAACAGATCCGGGTCAGAGGAGGTAGCCTTGAGCCTGTGTATTACTTAGTATGCATGCTCTGTGATGCATCATCATTCGCTGTTTAACACTGAAATAATACCATTATTTTCCAGTCCTCGATTTGCTGAATGGCTGAGCACTTAGTCAGTGGTCTGTCAGGTGTATGTGGAGTGTCCTCTAACCAGTCAGGCCCAGAGCCAGGCTCTGGAGCAGGCAGCTGGTTCCCACTGTCCCCCGTGAGGTGCCTCTCCTGAGTTTCTCGGACCCAGTGTTGGCTGTCTTTTAGATTTTAGAGGGCTGTAGCGTCCTCTAGCTTCCTAAGATACATGATAGGTCTGAGCCCAGACCATCTGAACATCTCTGGCCTCTCCCTCCTTCCCTGGTGGATATTCTGGCAGGGATCAGCATTCTACACTGCAGAGTTTCCACTCCCTCTTTCGAAGGCATTTATTCTTTTGCTTCTAGTAGTTTTGTCTGTGTCCAGTACCATTCTAGTTTCTGATTATTTGTATATTCTTTTCCCCTTCGGGCCTCTTCAGATGATTTTACTTGATATTCTGAACTTACATTCTTCACACTGAGCACTTAGTGTTCTGGTCCAGGCACGTGGGCTCTTCATTTCTGTACCCATTTTTCATAGGTTGTTTTCCCTTCCCATGGACTTTCTCTTTTTAGAAGACTTTTTTTCCTTTTCTGTGTCTTGCTTTTTGTATTTCCTGGGCAATCTTGAACTTTACTTTCCAACACTACTTTTTACCTTTTATTTTGCTATTTCATGTTTCATTATAAGTGAAGGAGTCTGCCCGCTGCCATCCCAGCCTGACCAGAGACCCCACTTAGTCCCTGCTCCCAGCAGGGTGGCACCTGGTAACCCATATTACACTGAGCCCTGCTGGTGATAGCAGCCACAATTCCCTGCACAGTTTGGGCCGCATCCGTGGGCAGCCACTGCCCTTTAAAGCCTTATTCTTGACAGGTAGGCACAGCCCCCTTTCACTGAGACCCCCCACCCCCTGTGACTCTGTAAACACCCCATAACCGTACAGCAGGGTCTGCTTGAGGTCTCAGTCCTGCAGTGGCTCCTCTCTGGTCTCTCAGCTCCAGACGGGTTCTGAAATACCCTGTCCTGGTGCGCACACACCTTTGTTTCTTTTCTTCTCTTTTCCTAACAGTAAGAGTTCTGTTTTTTTCTCTGCTTTTATTTTTTGTGGCATTCTATTTTTATTACATGGACATAATGCCTTTCTTTGGCTGTACTAGTTTTGTTGTTGGTTTGGTTGTTGAAGCTTTCTTCTGTTCACTGTGCTGTTCCTGTTTGGGCCGTGCTCGCTCTTTCTTTGTCTTGTCTCTGTCTCTCCCATTGGAACCCACTTTCAGCTGCCTGATCCTTGGCCACTGATCCTCTTCTACAGGTGAAGCATTGAAAGCTTGCCTGGGGCTTCTGTACTTGAGCTTTTGAAAATAAGTGTATTCGCTAGTGTCCAGTATTTTGGTTGGCTTTTTGTTAAGGACTGTAGATCTGTGGGATGATTGATCCAGAAAAAACTGTCCAGGTTCTGGCTGGGAGGAGGAGTGAGGATATGCGTGCTAGGTGGCAGGACTGGGTCCTGATCGAGTCTGCAGAGAGTTTGGTTCCTTCTGTCCTTCTTACATTGTCCCCATTAAGTATTGATGTTCACTTTCTGGAGAATGAAACTTCAGAGTTCCGTAGTTAGCAAGGCAGCAGCTCCGGAGGAGTGGAGAAGATACCCTATAAACAGTTGTATTCAGAAAAAACCGTTGTAAGTGCTGGAAGTGTAAATGTTGAAATCTTCATGCTACTCGCCAGCAGCTGATCTAGTTACAGTGGTGGACAACCCTCCACACATTTCAGCAGCGGCCCTGCCATCTGGGTAGCAGGGTGACTTGGAGCATGTCTTTTGTGTGTGTGTGTGTGTGTGTGTGTGTG